GAGATTACCCCAGTTCACGAAGGTCACGTTATCGCCCTCAGTGAAGCACTCAGCATCGGCGTATTCGACAAAAACAATGGGGGCCATGACGACTGTCTTTTCGCCCACCGAAGGATTCTTAGGATGGAGAGGAGTCTAGCAGAGGGGAAAAGGCCAAATCATATCAGAAATCTTGTCCCTCAACAGTATCGCAAAAATAAGGCGAATCGGTCAGATGTAACATTAGTACTACAATAGCTGAGCATCCACAGTCCCACTGCTAGCCCTTAAAGTTAATCAATTCAGTGACGCAAGAGTTGGTGTCATAACAGAATAAAATGTGTAGATCTAGTCAAGTATTCGGAGAGCCTCAATACTAAGGCGCTTAACCTAGAGACGATGATAAAAATAAAAAAAAAACATCGGCGAAAGGAAAGTTTACAAGATCTGTTGATTTTGTTTCCCCAAATTCGATGCAATCCTGAGGACGGGTAGTCCCGAATATGAGCAGTTTGCATAGGAAAGGCAGAGGGGATGCAAAAGTGGTCTTAGCAATAAGGAGTGAACGGGGTTGAAATGGTCGCAGATTGGAAATTAAGCACCACAAGCCCATTGCTAAAGATAGGAATCGTGGAGGCGATTAAAAACACTCGAATAATACATCCACTGTTATTGATAGTTAAAACGTCTAATCTCGGTCACATTTTTACTCTAAGCCATGTTTCATAGTTCCAACGTTGACAAAGCCAGCAAACTGGGGTGATAATATGCTGTTGCATCCGCTAAAAAAATATTGAGACACCCTAAAGTACGGATACTGGATGATTAAATTGGATGAGAATGAACTTCTGCGATGCCTTCGGTACTAGCACCATCAATTTATTCTGAGCCCCAGCGTCTCAACACTGACCTCAAACCAAAGATGCTAAGGAGATCGTGGCCTCCACTCTGCTGGTTGCACCCGCTTCTACACGCTTGAAATGATGTCAAGCCATTTACCCTAATTATCCCGAAATTCGTATGGAACTGTTTTTGTCGCCTAAGAGCTAAACTTAACCATAGGATTGCATTATTATACCATTTTTAAACGCCATGGCGCCTAAGACTAGTAATCAGTACAAGGTTTTGAGCACCACCTCTATGCGCCCACGTTTGTGATAACATGGCGTTGCCACTGCAAGAGTTCATAGCCAAGATATCTCATGACTTCGTCAGAGGTAAATTAGGCCCTACGCGAGTTCTTGCAAGGTGAAGGTGCAAAGTAGACAAGATTTTAATAGGACCAAAGGAATTGAATTCGCAAATGGTAGTCATAAAGAAGATAAGACGGTTACCTGCTTGGTCTCATCCGTCTTCTGACCCTTTACTCGGACTGGAACTACTCCACCTCTGCTAAGGCTCAGAGCCGTATAGCGGGGTGCCACAGGATCAATAACCTTCTTGTTGAAGGCCCATATTTTATCCCATTCCATGGTACCAGTTGACTTGCTCGACCCTTGAGCCAGAATAAACTGGCGAAGACCCTCAGGAGTGAGGCCATGACGAAGAATTCCACGAACAGTTGGCATACGTGGATCGTCCCAGCCGCTCACCAGACCCTGTTCAACGAACCAGGTCAGCTTTCGCTTGGAGAGGATGGTAGATTGCAGGGCCAAACGAGAGAAGTCAATCACTAGTGGCTTCCGAATTTCTGGTAGATAAAAAGAGAATTTACCTTTACTCATTTACGTGGCCGCCTTTAGGTTAAGGTCACTAAACCTCACGCACTACCTCGCACCCATCAATCTACGACCCTTTCTTCCATCCAGTGACTAAATTCATTGAATTTCTGACCATCCTATCCATAACAAATCGCACATCAATAACGAATCCTATGCGAGCTACAACCAGTCCTTCATTCATTAACCTACTCAAAAGGTGGTTTTCACAATATCGGTCTACATGCCTTAATTCTGCAAGTTTTAATTCATTCAGACTAGCATACTTATCACGTAGCTAAATGTGATCATTCAGTCAAGGATAAAAGTGAGACCGAAAGTAAACTTACTGAGTGCATCACACATCCAATAGTACTGACAATTCCGATCATTGTATTCGGAGGTACGGAGAGCATGAGTGACACCCTCCAAGCTGTCTACTATTGGACAGGCAAAATCGTAGATGGGGAAAACCCTGAAAGCAGCACATCAATTAGTCCTCCAAAAAGGCATGGAACATAATACTTTTCTATCCCTTCCTCGGGAAGCTAAACGTTACTAAAAGCATTCAGAATGCACGGACGCCAAAGCGCCTAAAAATTGACCAA